ATCATTTTAGAAGGGAGTGGTAAACTAATACCTCTCTGAAGAGATCTCACTTGGCCCTAATCTCTGTAGCCTTTCCCAGATGCTGAGGACTAATTTGCATTCACTTCTCTTCTCCCAGATTCCAAACAGAAGGACCACTTTAGGAAGCTGTGGGGAACTCAGTTCTTGCTACTGCACTAGTGCTGTGAGAGCAGCTGTCCTTCTAGCTCATTCCACATTGCCTTCTGGTTAATAAGAGATCAAAGGGGAAAAAAGGGCTGATACCCAATGACCTGTAGAGAACTACTTGGGGTATGTGAGCTAACAGCAAGGCTTATATCTGCTCTACAGGTGGAAAAACGAAGGCAGGAGTGCCTTTCTTATAGTAAAGCAGGATTTTGGCTGCAAGCATTAATAGAACTGATACTGTATAGATGAAACTACTAGTTTCCTCTGGGATAGTGTCATTCTATGCCCTTTTGGGCTGTATCTGCATAGAAAAGTATATGAGCCCAGAAATCTTCCCTGAGTGTGGGCTGATCTCGTATCTGTACCTGAGTGTCAATTCCCCATTTTCCATGGTAGCAGGAAAGTTCATTTCTAACATGTCCTCACACAACATGTTGTATTAACCAGACACAAAAGGATGCTGCCTCCTTTGTCATGATGATTCAAATCTATTCAGAAAATATTTACGGAGAATACTGTAATCTGGCATTATGCTACCATGTGGATTCTACTCCTGATTTTGTGACTGTGGACAAGTTACTTGTATACTTAAGATACTTAAGAGTCTTGGTTTCCTCATCCTAAGTAAATGTTATTTGTAACATGAGATTAAGAGTACATTTACCATTTAAGGTTAAGATTAAATAGGATCATGCTACTCAACAAAACAGACAGAGCTTGCTCAGGTGCCGGGAACCTAATGAACGGTGAATGTTAGCGGATATAATAGTGATGCCAAGGATGATGTGGATGCATAAAGTCCCATCCATTCATTCAGCAAATATTTACTAAATACCACCCATAAGCCAGGCAGTGTTGTATGTCCTCGAGGCACATTAGTGAAATGGATTTTTAAAAAACCTGTTGACTTTGTGGGACTTGTATTATTGTACATCAAGGTATTCTCAAACATTTGGTTTGGCTTAGAATTCCGTGAAGACTAGTACTTAGTGAATAATTAGTATCAGGTGTAATAGTAGCTTAAAAATCAATTAAAGTTTGATTTGGGCAGAAAAAAAGAATCCAGGTTTTAGCTCTTAAATACTACTGGAAGGTGGATTTCTAAATCCCCTTTCTATGAAGCAGTAGACTCTTATGATCCAGGATGGAACTAACCATATTTCCCAATTTAACAATCAAGCCATATGTCTGACAAGGAGAGTTTGCTTATGAAACAGAATCTGAATTGAGGATTGTCTCCGAAAGTCTCACACATATGGTGCCCATATCTATGAAATTGCTCTGGGGGAAATTATAAAGAAACACTCTGCGTGTCACTCTTTGAGATCAATGTATTCCCTCAGGAAAGCTGGCTCTGAAGTGTGCCTTTTGCCCTTTGGCCTGGACAGAGATGTCGCCTGTGTCATACCAGGCAACAATCCGATACGTCGCAGAAATAGGTTCGATTTTAGTCATGTTGCTGTGGTTTACTAGCAGCTTTTCCCAGGCTTCAAAGGGACATTCTCTAGACTCCTATGATGTAAGAGGGTGTTCCCACTTCAGCTGTGGCCAGCAGATGCTATGTGCACACTCTCTTTGTCCACGTGTGCTGATAAAAGCAAGGAAAATGTGAATAATGGAAAAGAATGGCAGGCAGTTCTTTTGCTGGCTCTGGTGATTTTAAACACAAGCGAAACACACACTTCAGCTTCTCCCTGGCAGAGCGTTTTGGTCTCCTTGAAATTTTTCACTCTTGTGAGAATGACTCACGTCTTGGAAACGTCAAGTTCCAAGTCTGGTGCTCCCCGCACCTTTAGGCATTGGTTAAAGTGCCCGATGGGAGTTTTCAGCATCCTGTCAGCTGTTTGAATTAACAAGGGATGCTGTGCTCTCTTGCCTTTCACTGGAAACTCAGCATTTCACTGTTCCCCAGCACCGTGAATTTTCCATTGTGTTGTGATTACCTTAATCAGTCTCTGATGTCCTACGGAAGGATGGGAAGGGGACCGCATCTGCGGACTGTTGTTTCAGCTTCCTTGTTAGCTGATACTTTAAACTGCATTGTGTCTTTTGGTTTTGTAAAACCCTTTCAAGAAACACTTTGATTTGGCTCCTCACTGCAGCTCTGTGAAGGTCCTTGACAAATACTATTAGCTCCACTTAACAAAGGAAAATAATGTCCACAAGCTAGAATCCTGGTCACCAGGCTGCTTTGCATTACCCTGGTTGTATAAGTGAGGGGGAGGTAGACTCAATTCACAGTGGGTAAAAAAACAAACAACAACAAACAAACACCCAGAAATTATTTCTTGCTAACTAAGTGTCCAAGGCAGGTCTTCCTGATTGGTGGCTGGCTCCCTTCCACGTGGGAATTCAAAAACCAAGATCCCTCTATCTTTGGGTTCTGCAATCCCCCCGGGGAATTTGTTGGTATGTGCATCAAGCCTGTGGAAGGAAAAGAGATTGCTCCTGACTCTCCCTCAAGTCTTTATTGGAAGTGGCCCATCTCGGGTTTCCAAAAGCTGGAACACCAGGGCCAGCCACGTCAAGCAGTCTGTGCGTAGGAGAGAAAACACGATTGATGAGCAGTCATGCAAAGGGTCCCCAAAGCATAATGCATATCCACTCAGGACCACCTCAGTGGAATATGAATGGTGCCTCTTGGATCTGAGCGATGTGTTGACCACACAATGAGTAACAACCAACATCATACTGGGTGCTACGTGGACATTCAATTTTAAGTCAATGTCAGAGTCGGAAAAATAGAAACAGCATATCCAGCAAGAGACTGTGCAGAGATAATTGCTTACTTTAAGTTTCCACTTAGAGTAGATTTACTTAGCTTTCAAAAGCTGGTTGAATTAAAGAATAAGGTTAAGTATTAATTATACATAGATAGGATGAAAACCCTGAAGTCAGTGTGCGTGATTGAAGATTGGGACACTGAATGTATGCCAACTGTGTCCTTCATTATAGTTCATTATTGGAAGAGGAAGAAAATAAGCTTTGTGTGAAAAGTTCTTATTGTGACTTATAATAAGAAATACATATTTGGTCTTCATCTTGGTCAGGGCAGAGCTTCTAAAACCCTTGGTACATTGAAGTGAGACACAGGTGTCTTTTCTTCTGTTAAGTGACTTTAAGACCTTCGAAGTAAGGGTGAAGACTGGTTGCCAATGGAGCCAACCATTTGATTAGAGGATTGGAGCATCTAGTCCCACCCCCAAACCTCTGGGGAGCTGAGTGGGGCTAGAGATTGAGTTAAATTAAAACACAGGAGAGACTTGAGAGGGCTTCTGGGTTGGTGAACACACCGAGATTTGAGAAAAGTGGTGCTCTTGGAGAGGCATGGAAGCTCTGTGGCCTTTCCCCAGATCTTTATCTGGCTGCTCCTGGGTTAGGTCCTTTTTATAATAAATCAGTAATCTAGTGAGTAGACAGGTTTCCTGAGTTTGTGAGCCACTCTAGCAAACTAATTAAACACAAAGTGGGTGGTGCTTGTGAACCTCTGATCTATAACTGGTGGGTCAGATGATGTATAGGTCACAACCTGGGCTTGGGACTGAAGTTGGGGAGATGGGAAGCAGTCTTGTAGGACTAAACCCGTGGAGTCTGATACTATTGGGTAGATGGTGTCAGGATTGAGTTAAATTGTGGGACACCCACAATTGTTTATTGGATGTGTGGGAGACCTTTCCACTACACACTGGCACTGGGTCCGGGGAACCCAAAAGAAAAACAAAATACAAAAAAAAAAATAAATAAATAAAATAAAAATAAAAAAATAAAGAAAGAAATTGTCCTCCTATACTCTGGATGTTCAAAACCTTATTCAGGACACACACAAACTATAGGGAGGAGCACACAACTGGCTGTTATTAAAAGCTGAAATGTGTCTCCAGTATAATGTATTACAGCTTCGAGAGGATGGGAAATTTACCTGTTGAAATTAAGCATGGTGCTATTTCTTCCTTAACTTATGAATCATTTCTATAAACATTTATTGTGTGCTTACTCTGTTACAGTAAGCTCTCTGATCCCCAGGATTTAACCATCTGGTGTTAGTGCTGGTGGATGGAGGAAAGAGACTTCTGAACAAAGGAATGCAAATCAGAATTACCGGGGCTTGATAGATGTATGTGCAGGATCCCCAGGCATGAAGAACTTTTAATGTCAACAGAGATTTGGAGTCTAAACTCCCTCTTTTAATAGATTAAAAAACCCTGAGGCTCAGAGGAGTAAAGTGGCTTTCTCAAGGTCACACAGCTAGTTGTTGGAAGAGTTAGTACTAGAATCCAGATATCCTGATCTCCAACCTCAGCTGGCTGCATGGAAAGGATGTGAGCTGAGGGGTTTGGATTGGAGAAGAGATGAAATTTACCAAAATCTCCTATCCATTTTTCACTGGTCAGTATTGGGGGGTTCGGAGTAACATGGTGTAGGAAGAATGTCTTGCTCACTAGGATGAACCTAAAGGTTCTACACCTAGCTATGACCACCTCCATAGAGTGCATCCTTAGGTAAATGATCTAACATATCTAAAATAATACTTGCATGTTATTTGTCTAACACATTATGGTTTTCAGTACCACCTTGCCACCATCCTCTCATTTGATTCTTGAAACAGCCCTCTGAGTTGTATGTACCAGAAGGGCATCCTAAATAGATAGATCCAGAATAGGCATCTATTTTGCAAATGAGCAAGCCTGAGGTATAGAAAGTCACACAACTGGTTAAGTGAAAAAGTGTGTGGCTCCCAAGTGCTTCTCGTCCAATACTCCCCATGATACCATGTTTATAACAAGTACGGGACCGGAGTGGCTAACCAAGAGTATCCTTTGATTATATTACAGATGCATTGTGAGAGGTTTCTATGCATCCTGAGAATAATTGGAACCACACTTTTTGGAGTGTCTCTCCTCCTTGGAATCACAGCTGCTTACATTGTTGGCTACCAATTTATCCAAACAGATAATTACTACTTCTCTTTTGGACTGTATGGTGCCTTTTTAGCATCACACCTCATCATCCAAAGCCTGTTTGCCTTTTTGGAGCATCGAAAAATGAAGAAATCCCTAGAAACACCCATCAAATTGAACAAGACTGTTGCTCTTTGCATCGCTGCCTATCAAGAAGATCCAGACTACTTACGAAAATGTTTGCAATCTGTGAAGAGGCTAACCTACCCTGGGATTAAAGTTGTCATGGTCATAGATGGGAACTCGGAAGATGACCTTTATATGATGGACATCTTTAGCGAAGTCATGGGCAGGGACAAATCAGCCACTTATATCTGGAAGAACAACTTCCACGAGAAAGGTCCTGGTGAGACGGATGAGTCACATAAAGAAAGCTCGCAACATGTCACCCAGTTGGTCTTGTCCAACAAAAGTATTTGCATCATGCAAAAATGGGGTGGAAAAAGAGAAGTCATGTACACGGCCTTCAGAGCACTGGGACGAAGTGTGGATTATGTACAGGTAGGTTTCCAAATTCCTGCCAGGGCAAACATACATTTAAATAAAGCAGCTTTTGTATCTCTGCAGGCATATGCTATAGCCCATCCTTGTCCCTCTGAACACAGTACTCCTTTCAGTTCTTTTGAAAACAGCATGACTGTTGAAAGCACATTTTGAAAGGGAGGGAAAAAAAAATCTTGTGTAACTGTTAAGACTATCTACGAAAATGCTTAACTTCTCCAGTGTTATTGGTTGGAAATCAAGATTATTTTGAACAGGAGACCCTTCCTTCCTTCTCTCCACCCCCCCTCCCTTACCTTCTCTGCCCCCTTGCTTCTGCCAAGTCAAATCCAACGTCATTTTCCACAGTCTTAAAATCTCCAGCCTTGTAAGAAAATAGTGTCTGCCGAGCAGAAGGGTCTTGAGAAAAATCTGCAGGCTCGAGAGATGGCTATAAAACGTTTTTCACAGAGACTGGGCAAAATGGGGGTGGTGAGAACAATTTTGATTTAAAAGGCGAAGGAATTCAAAACTGAAAGACAGAAAGAAAAGGAAAACAAAAAAGGGAGAAAAACAAACACACACACACAAAAACCCTTCCCAGAGCAAAAGCGAAGTAATGTTTATTTCACTCCCCAAACAGCATTACCTCACTCACTGCACTTGACCTTTGAAAGCATTTGTGATGGTGTTTGGTCTCATGAAAATGAGACAGGCTGTGTCTGTCATTAATTCCCTGACTGCTGGCCCTGGGGCTTCTCCCCTCTTAGTTGAAGCTTTCTTTAGAATGTTAGTAGCGTCCCTGTGAGTTTGCTGGTTGCAATTTTCTTACAGATATTTTAGTTGGGTTTTGGCCATGATGATTTGGAAAAGGGAGACATGTCTCTGATTTAAGAAAATCCATTGGGACACCCTCCCTGTCCTCACATAGGTGAAATGCTTCTTTTCAGAAGACCTTTCATATACTATAGGGACTTTTATTCCCGCAAAGTCATGCCCAGTGGGATGACATGCTTTGTGTAATGGGATGCCAATGGGCAGTGGCTGCAGAGTCCAAGTATTGCTAGCTGGGTGACCTCGAGCAGGACCACCTCCCCTGCATAGAGTTTCCTGCATAGAGTAAACCAATCTCACAAGGGGTTTGCGAGGACCATGGGGTTAATTTTGGTTAATAACTGAAGAGTTTTGAGGCATTTTTAAAAAAAGATTGTATTTATTTATTCATTACAGACAGAGAGAGGCAGAGACATAGGCAGAGAGAGAAGTAGGCTCCATATGGGGAGCCTGATGCGGGACTCGATCCCAGGACCCCAGGATCATGACCTGAGCCAAAGGCAGATGCTCAACCACAGAGCCACCCAGGTGGCCCACAAGGCATTTTTTTTTTTCCCAGTTGATACCAACCTGCATGTTAATCTCTTCTAGGGAACTGATAGAGTTTCACTCCTAAATTTCTCCTAGTCTCCTAATTTCTAGAACCGTCGCAGTTGAGGTAATTTTAGTTAACTCAGGACATTTTTATGGGTTTTCATAAGGCAACTTCAGGCCCAGATAGAGGATGAAGCAGTCCTTTTAAAGGAAGTGATGAGATGGTCAGGGAACTTCTAGAGAGGGTTTGAAGAGTGAGGCTCTGGTCCTAAAATGAGGAAGCGTGTTTTGGAATTTTGCCTTTAATTCTAATTAAAATGATTGCTACATTTGTCATTTCTAATCAGATTGTCATTGTGAAGGTTTTCTTTTCTTTCTTTCTTTCTTTCTTTCTTTCTTTCTTTCTTTCTTTCTTTCTTTCTCTCTTTCTTTCTCTCTTTCTTTTTTAAAAGCCTGTTCCTCCCAAATCCCTTTCTCCCATCATTCTTGTTTTGAATTTTGTTTGTATCCTTGACGACCTGACATTGTGCCTGACCAGGGCAAAATAATACAAACTATGAAATGTTAGAGTAACATCCTTGCTAGAGCCCAAATCAGGCTTGAGAACTCGCCTTCCATCAGGGCTGAGGACTTCAGGTATAGACCGGCTCTGAATCCTGCTGGAATTTTTAGCCCATTCCAAGCACTCACACGAGGGTAGAAAAACTTTTGGCATTCATCGGCTCCCCGATACTTAACCATGTGCGCCCTATAAAAATGGAAATGTCATAAGGCTCAAATCAGTGCATTCTCACCATCCATTCTGACTGACCCAGGGTCCGAGCATTACAAAGCAGAAGCCACAGAAAGACGAAGGAGAGGGGTCAAAGGATGTTGGCTACTAAACATTACAAGTGACTGAATGTGGAGAGCCGATTGCCTACAGAAAGTAGGAAGTAAAGTTTGGGTGCTCATACACAAGAGAAAATAAGGGCTGGGCAGAAACAGGACCATCTGCTCACATGCTTGCTTTTCTTTTTTTAAGGCTGCTCGTCCCAAATCCCCTTTTCCCATCATTCGTGTTATGGCTGAAGACACTGCTTAGCTGTGCAGACATGGCCAAGACGATTGGTTTCCTCCAGGGTCTTGGGCACTGGTTAGCTCTCTTTCCACCCGATGTCGAGTAGATGTCTTGCTTGTTGCTCTCTTGACCTATTATTTCATGCCTTCACCACTCTCCGAGCACCCATCCAGAGTCCTCCCCAACTGCTCATGCATGAGTCTGCCTCCTAACAAGAGAAAATCAAAAGTCCTGCTTCTGAATGCTGTCAGGATTTTTCTTTTCTGTTCCTTCTTTACAGTTGCAAAGGTACCCAACTTCACTTCCCATCTCAAGGTTAACCTTTCTACACACACACCTGGGCTCTCTCAGTTGGTTCCCTCTGCTCTCCACCAGAGTGAGGCTCTGCTGCCTGTCCTTCCACCTCTCTGTTTTCATGTCTAGTCTTCTTGACCATCTACCATCTCAGCCTAACTAAAGCCATCCAGATAATCAACACTGACCTAGAATGTAGAGGGACGCTTTAGTCTAAGAGAAAGCGGCAGGTAGCAAATTCACCTGGGGTGCTACAGGCTGCTTTCAGAGGTAAAGAATGTAGGAAAACATCAGTAATGAAGTGAGAAAAGAAGGAATTGAGAAATGAAGGGGAGAATAGGGAAGATTTTCTGAATTTTGAATCAAAGCATTTTCTGGAGAGAACCATTTTTTTTTTTTTTTTCCAAAAAGAGATTCTGATCTGTCTGGAAATGGCTTAAGTAAAGTAGGGCAAAAGTCTTTTTTACCTTTTTAAAATAGTACTTTTTTTTTTAAAGATTTTATTTATTCGTGAGAGACACACAGAGAGAGAGAGAGACAGACACAGGCAGAGGGAGAAGCAGGTTCCATGCAGGGAGCCTGATGCGGGACTCGATCTCGGGACCCCAGGATCACATCCTGGGCCAAAGGCAGATGCTCAACTGCTGAGCCACCCAGGCGTCCCTCAAATTAGTACTTCTGTTAGCTTTTTTATTTACCATAGTAACATATGTTGCTGATGGTGTGTTTAAAAGTATGGAAATGGACAATGAGCAAAATTAAAATCCTCCACAGCAAATACATGACCCATAGATTCTCAAGTCTGATACTTGACAGCATATACCTTTCTAATTTTCCCTTATTTTGGAAACAGTTTTCAGGTTATGTTGTATTTGCTTTTCATTTTTGTTTGTTTGTTACTTCTTAACACCAGAAGACGTTTTTAGGTGTACTTTGATACCTAGATTATAGAATTTCTTTATTCTTATGTCCTATTACTGAACTTGGATATTACAGCGTAGTGGGCACTGGTCTGTGTGACAAGGGTAACTGACAATATCCCCTGATGTGTGGTATTAGGGATTTTCTGATGGGAAAATCTATAATAAGTATAAATATGGTCTACCAGTGAAGATGATAGAAGACAACTTTTTTTTTAAAGATTTTATTTATTCATTTGAGAGAGAGTGTGTGTGCATGCACAAGTGGGGGGAGGGGCAGAGGGAGAAGCAGGCTTTGCCAAGCAAGGAGTCCAATAGGGGACTCAATCCCAGGACCCTGGGATCATGACCTGACCCCCGAAAGCAGCGGCTTAACCAACTGAGCCACCCAGGCGCCACTCCCCGTTTTTTTTGTTTGTTTGTTGTTTCTTTTTAAAAACATTTTATTTAAATTCAAGTAATTAACATATACTGTATTATTGGTGTCAGAGGTAGAGGCCAGTGATTCCTCAGTCTTCTATCACACCCAGTTCTCATCACATCACTTGCCCTCCTTCATGCCCATCACCGGGTTACCCCATCCTCCTCCCCCTCCAGCGACCCTCAGTTTGCTTCCTATGATTAAAAGTCTCTTATGGTTTGTCTCCCCTCTCTGATTTTGTCTTGTTTTATTTTTAATAGGAGACCATTTATTATTAATTTAATCTGACAGTGTCCTAGGTATCCATGTTCCTTTTAGCAGGAGACAAGTGAGACTAAATTATTCATAAGTGTAGAGTTGACCTTCATTATTCATGGAGTCTGTGTTTGTAGATTACCTTACTCACTAAAGTGTATGTGTAACCCCCAAATCAGTACTTGCAGTGCTTTTGTGATCATTTGCAGACATGCGGAACAGCAAAAAATTTGAGTCACCTGATGTGCATGTTCCCAACTGAGGTCAAAGAAGACTGTGCTAGAAACTGTGCTGAACATGGTACAGTACAGTATAACAAGGAACTTCATAGTCTACTTGGTATCATGTTTTTCACATTGTTGGGCTTTTTGTTGGTGATGCAGCTGTTTAAAATGCCCCTCAAGTGTCCTGCTGAAGTGCTGGCTAGTGTTCCCGAGCACAAGGCTCTGATTGCCTTATGGAGAAAATATGTTTGTTAGGTGAACTTTGTTTAGGTGTCAGTTAATAGCTGTTGGTGCTGAATCCAATGCTAATGACTCAAATTATTTATTTATTTATTTATTTTAAATGATTTTTATTTATTTATTCATGAGAGACCGAGAGAGGCTGAGACATAAGCAGAGGGAGAAGCAGGCTCCCTGTGGGGAGCCCGAGATGGGACTCCATCCCAGTACCCGGGGATCACGAGCTGAGCCAAAGGCAG